TGCCAGTCTTATTTCAGACTGCAAATATTTTCAATACACTGGCAGTATTTTTACTCGTAAGTAAGATTTCACTCCAAGAAATTTAGGGAGGTCGCATTATCGCATCGAGGAAAACGAGAATCTAAAAAAGTCTTATCGTACCTCTAAAATCATTGCATATGATAAAAAAAAAGTCGTAGAAATAATAAGGAATCATTCATGACCCCCTTCGAAATGCATCAGATGCTGAAAATGGGTGAAGTAAAACTGCTCTCGCGCGTAAGTCGCGCGATGACAAGCGTCTTCCCCGGAGATACTAAAATCAGCGAAATTAGTCTCCGCCTTGGAATCCGAGTCGACTCCGGTCGGCGAAGCGGATGGACGAGAGGAAAAGAGCAACGACGGTGCAAGTATATTATAATCTTCTGTTGCTCTCGAGTCGAGTCCCTGTGTGCGCGCCAGATGGTACCAGCTGGATGACGCATCAAAGCAGAAAACCTCCCGCGTGTCCGAAGCGCGGTTCCGCCCACGGAATCGCGAGGAAAACACGTGCGCCTCCGTTACTGCCGCGCCGCACCGTCAGGTTGCGAATAGTCTCGTAATGCGAGAATTCGGTGTGTGTATTAGGATCTCGTACCGCGCCTACGTTACTGAAGAACATTATTTGTATCTACATGTTGTCCGCACGTGGACACTGGTGGCATATTAAATTTCAATAGCGAATTCCTCGAGCAATTTATCTTACATTAATCATAATCTGATTGATTATACCAGTGAATGATGCAGTTTACAATTGTCGATATCGAGTAGAAATACTATAAATATAAAAATTATATAGGAAAAAAGGCTCAAATAATTTTTTAAAATTAAATTAATAAGAAAAAGGCTAAAGCCAAGCAAGGTCTTAATGATATAATATTAAATAACAAATAGAATATTCCAAACCTTAAAGGTGCAGCCCAATAGAAGCGATAAGGAATTAGGAATAAGGAATAAGGATTTTAACCTATCAGATATCAGATACACTGGAATACACGGTTTCTGATAGGTTGGAATCCTTATTCTTTATTCCTAATTCCTTATTCCTTCTGTTATGGCCGCACCATAAGGCGATGCTAAAGCGCTCAATAGTGACATCTTTTATTCATTTCTTTACATTATATTATATGTCATTCTGTCTTACTCAAACGCATACATATGTCCTTATCTAACATATGCCAGCACCATCTATCGCGTAACTACTGCTACATGGAATTTCGGCTTCCAGTCTTCGCAAAGCATCTGTATACACGCATTTTCCATTCAGTAAAAATACTTTTCTTCTAGACTTTCCATCCTAGTCTTACAATCTCGGTCGTTCCAGTAATGTGACCTTAACTGCACGCTCATTTTTAAGGTATGGATTTTTAAGATATGTCTCTAAAACTCTTATATCGAGCAAATATATACCTGAGGTGACAGCTCGAGCCAAAAGGAAATGAATTTTTTAACTTTTTTTCGATTTTCTCGTGAAATCTAGTACAGCTGAGGTCCTGTTTGTGCGTACTTTAGTTTATGTAATAATACTTTTGCAATCCCCGTAAATCCAATTCGGAGATTTTTTACTGAGTGGAAATTTGGGTAAAACAGGAGGCTTTAGCATCGCCTTAAATAAGTTCATAAAAGTAGGTAAAGATCGTCTTGTAATCCTTTAGATGTGGGGTATAAAATTTCTTGCCTTGATTGTGAGGCAAGTTATGTCGGTCAAACGAAGAGACGTTTACAAATGAGAGCGCTCTACTGATATTAATACAAAAAAACGGGATCTCCATCACAGTTATTTCGAACCATCGCATCGTACGAATTTTAATCATAATTTTAATTGGGAGGAGGTTAAAATTTTGGATACACACAGAATCATCTTATAATAAAAGATTAATATCAGAACTGATGTATATAAAGAGACAATCTCAAGATTTTATCCGACATGTATCTTTCCATACTACAATCGCTGTCCCCTTCCTTAACCTTTTAGTATACCCCCTCTTTTCATACTTTTCCTACCTGACGTCTCATTCTCTCTCTCTATTGTCAGAATAGTCATTTTCAATGTATAACTTCCAGAGTAAATTTCTCTCATCTTAAAAATTCAGTTCCTTTTAGTAAGATAACTCAAGACGCCGTTTTTAAATACTTAGATGTAAAGAAATTTTGTGATGGATTACAATCAATTCTCCAGGTACTTTTTATTTTTTATGATTTCTTTAAAATATGCAGATTGTTTTAATTTTAATATAACTGTTTATTTTTTACAATGTTCTATTAATAATATATAATTGTTTTAACAATAATTTTTACTAGATTTCACTATTATATATTTCTAGAATAAAATTTATAATCTTTTTAATTGTTGATCGTTGTTTTGATTACAAAAAATTCCGAGATATGCTTTTGGTTACTTCCGTTTAATCTACTTCAAGACATCCGTTGATTACTACAATAGCGATTTAATAATGTATTTCTTTGAAATTTTTATTGTTCTTAATGTTATAATCAGAGCGATATTAGTTCTCTAATCTCTCTTTCTTTAATATTCAAATATATATTTATCTCGTTTAAAATACTGTTTAAATTTTAAAATCTGTTTATTCTCAATGTTAACAACATTGAGAATGAACAGAATGGGATCAAAACATATGTTCTAAAAAACTTTCTGTTTGTTATTTAACAATATAGCATCAAGACCTTGCTTGGCTCATAGTCCTATTCTTATTAATTTATTATAAATATATTCATCAATGTAAAAACTATTTATATTTACCTTGAATGAATAAGCATTATATCGAATATATATTTATTATATTTTTATATTCGGCGTATAAAAGAGAATAAAAGATTAAAAAAATTGTGTGGTTTAATAAATTGAACTTACCTACGAAGTTCGATCTTAATTATGCCCCTTGTCTCGTCCGGATGGAAACTATGTAACTATGTAGTCGTGTCCTTGTGCACTGCATTGGCAACAGATTTAAAAAACACCGCCAAGAAAATGAAAGAAAAGGGGCGTCTCACGCTCCTCGTATTTCGTGGTGGAAGTATATTTATATAATATATTTATATGATACATCTATACATTTATATAATATACTTCCATGGGCACGAGCATGGTGGAATCAGAAAGGTTGAAGCATTGGGCATGATGGAAGGAGGCGAATTTTTACTAATTAATCAGCATTGCATTTTACTGTCTATCGACCAATCAAACGCTATCGGTATGTCACTGTCTACTGTACATCCTTCGAAATGCTTCACCTACATAGGGCACAATTACGTAGTTACATAGTTTCCATCCGAACGAGACTTAAGGAGGCATAATTAATTATTTTTTTTGTTCTATTATTATGTATTATTATATTAATATTTATGCTCTCTTTCTCTAATATTCAAATATATATTTATCTCGTTTAAAGTACAATTTTTAGGGATTTTAAATAACACAAACTGACGTATTTTTCTTCATTTTGTTTACAGCCGGTGTCATGGCGGGTTCCGAGAGAGATAGCGGCTCTTGCAGTAGTGTTGACGAGGACAGTAGATCGAGCTTGCATTCGCCTACTTCGTCTGAGGACAGTGTCGAAGTGCAAGTAATACCAATTTCATTGCGAAATAAGCGGAAACTGGCGGAGCCACGAAAGATTCAAGAATCTGCAGTCATCATAGCGCCACTGAAGAAGAGACGGTTTGATCCTATTTCCAAGGAGACAACCGTGGACCAAGAGGAGACCAGATCACTGAACACATCGAATCCTTTTCGACCATGGATTCCTTCTCCCTATAAAAATGAATCTGAAACAATCGTGACTTCGCCGATGACGACGTCGACGAATACGAATTCCATGACAACAACTGCGATAACGACGACAACGACATTGTCCAGCGAAAGAGAGGAAGAAGAAGAAGAAAGGAGGAAACAGCAAGATGAGACGACACAGAGGTTGCACGAATCATTCAGAAGACTACAACATCCTACCGGTCACAATCGAGTGGCTGTTTCATCTCGACGAGAGCCTCGTCAGAGGTTCTTCGAGCCGGTAGCACCAACAGCAGCAACGACGTCTCCGTCGATCTCTCTACCGCATCCTAGGCTGCAGGACGAGCCATTATCTTTGGTGGTGAGAAACGAGGCATCCAGAGTGCCGTCGCATCCTGCTGTAAGTGGCTCCTACGACAAGACGCCATCGTACATGATGGAACACTTGTTGCAATCCTCGGTACAGATAGCTTCGTCCGATCAGAATCATCAGACTCATCAGAGTCATCAAGTGGCTCCCATGACATCGAGACACCATCATCAGGGCGGCCAGCAAAGAAATTACAAGAACATGACGAGGGAGAGACGGATAGAAGCGAACGCTCGAGAAAGAACTAGAGTGCATACCATCAGCGCGGCCTTTGACACGTTAAGGCGAGCAATACCTGCCTATTCACATAACCAGAAATTGTCAAAGTTATCCGTACTGAGGATTGCCTGCAGCTACATTATGACGCTTAGCAAGGTTCTTGATAAGGATGGCGAAGTGATGGCCACAAAGAGCAATGGCCTCACAGACTTGAGTAGCTGCGTAGAGCTGGTCTCCAGGACTATTCAGACGGAGGGCAAACTCAGAAAGCGGAAAGAAGACTGAACGAATCGTGTTTTCACCTGAACAATGGGAACAAGATTGGAATAATAGACAATGGAATCTGTCACAACAGAAACAGCGGAGGATGTTCCGCATTGTCCGCTTATACGTCTTCTATTCTCGATGCCATGTGGTTCGAGGGAGGGGAGGACGATGTAAGGTTAAGTAACCTAAGCAACTAATCATCACCGATTTCTATGCTGAGCATATTAATTCAAGGACTATCGATTAAGAATGCGTTAATTAGAATCGCGAGTCACGAGTGCGATGAAACAATTTTCGAAAGTAGTGACGACAGGATGAATTCAATTGAGTCTTGTTCGTGAAAAATGTACTCTCAATATTTTTTTGGAGTGAGCTTTCACTCTAAGAAATTTAGAGAATAGGATAACTACTTCTCGTCTTACAAAAATTGTACATTACGCTTTTGAAATCATAATAAACTTTAAATTTTAATAAATACTACTGTAGCAAAGAATTTCTCGCGATGCCCGCAATGGTAATTCGTCTACATACCGATTGCAATTACGCAACCAGACAATAAATTTTAGAAAGATTCTCATACTTAGATCACGCTTAAATTTACGACAGATACTGCTACAGATGTTGCACTGTATCACGGAATTTATGATAGAGAGCGGCGAATGTTTATGTAGAATTTGATCATTTATGATAGAAGCTAGTCTTGAAGCTATTTTAACCCTTTTGAAATGGTAAATACATCCAATACATCTAATTTACTAATCCCATAAAATAATCACCCTAATAGCATATTCATCCGGGATACATCTTGGAGATGTTTTTAGGGTGTTCAAAAGACATATAGACATCCTAAGGACGTCTCCTGAAATGCTATTAGGGCTATATTTTTATCAAAGAAATAAATTTTATAATTCTTAGGGCCTCTTTCACCAACTTCTAGTTAAATTAATCGACGATCAACTCACAGAAGTGCCAACAGCAGTTTAATGTATCAGAACGTTTCTTCTCTCTTCCTCTTCTGTGTTTATCTGTGGTGGTGAGAAACGAGGCATCCAGAGTGCCGTCGCACCTTACTGTAAGTGGCTCCTACGAGAAGATCGCTGAACACACCGAATCCTTTTCGACCATGGATTCCTTCTTCCTATAAAAATGAATCCAAGACCATAAAGTAAAACCATGGAGCCACGAAAGATTCAAGAACCTGCAGTCATCATAGCGCCACTGAGAAGAAACGGTTTGATCCTATTTCCTAGGAGACAACCGTAGACCAAGAGAAGACCAGATCACCGAACACATCGAATCCTTTTCGACCATGGATTGCTTCTTCCTATAAAAATGAATTTGAGACAACTGTGATTTCATCGATGACGACGTCGACGAATACGATTTCTAATACCATGATAACAACTGAGATGACGACGACAACGACATTGTCCAGCGAAAGAGAAGAAGAAGAAAAAAGAAGAGAGCAAGATGAGACGATGCTGAGGCTGCGCGAATTATTCAGAAGACTACAACATCCTACCGGTCACAATCGATCGGCTGTTTCATCTCAACGAGAGCATCGTCAGAGGTTGTTTGAGCCATCGTACATGAACACTTGTTGGCAGCTTCGTTCGATCAGAATCATCAAAATCATCAGACTCATCAGAGTCAACGAAATCATCAAGTGACTCCCATGACATCGAGATACCATCATCAGGGCGACCAGCAAAGAAATTACAAGAACATGACGAGAGAGAGAGAGAGAGAGAGACAGTTCTCTAATAGTTCTCACGTTGGCAATCATAGTGATGGAGTTAATTAATCATCGATTAGCGTTAATCAGAGTTGGTGAAAGAGACCCTTAAGGGGATCTTAAACCGAAGGCCGAGAGTTTTGAAGAGCCATTCGTCCACGGCGGACGCCTCTCGGGTCGAGTGCTATTATTCAATATATTTTTGAAATATATAATCCTCTTAAAGATGCTAGAAGGTTTGCAGATTATCGTTGTATTTTTGTCCATTGCTAATGTCAACGTTTCGTGAACTTCGCCGTTCACTTCATTAGGGCGAAGAGCACTCTCGTCCTGATGAAGTAAACGGTAAAATTTACAAAACGTTGGTTGGCATTAGCAATGGAAAAAAACACGGCGATAACTCGCAAACCTCCTAGCATCTTTAAAGATAATAGCCGTGGAAGCCTAAAAAACATCAAAATTTTCTAAATTTTCATTTTCATGACGATAACTTTATAGAGAGCGTTATAATAAACAATTATAATAAATATATATTTTTCTGTCTTAAATATTTTTTGCGATTCGTTGTCTTTTAAAAGGGTTAAACGTGAAATATGCAAACGCGCCTTAGTTCGGCTAAGCAGATTCGTGTATCACCTAAAGCAACGATTTTCAAACTACGATTCATTGAAATGCACTTATTTCAACGAAAGGACAAAAGAATCGATCGATCGTCTGCAATCTATTGAATCAGTTTACGACCCAGTGAGAAATGACAATGGAATCGACAACGAATCGATGTCAATTTGACGTCAAAATCATCAAATTGACGTCGATTCGACATCGATTCCATTGTCATGTCTCACTGGGGACATGCCAATCTAAGATATACGCAAAAAGAACGAATTAAAAGGGAAGACAATAATAATACTGCTTGTGAAGTTCTTGATAAGGCGGTGAATGTTTATGACGAAACTACAAATGATATCGTCCTCCTATAGAAATATAGTAGTCAGGTAAAACACGCGTACAGTTATAACTAGATAGGGTTTGTTAGGATTGTCTCATTTTCAGGAATACCATTACTTTTCGAACTCTAGCACTCACTATTGACGATAAAAAACAGAACATAATCGACATGAATGTAATCTGTTTTTTTAAAGAATTGGTTTTAATATTATAATTCAATATTATTATAATATCGACAATTTTTAAAAAAATATGTTGAATAATTTTAATTCCGAGGTATGTTAAATTATTAACAAAAGGATTGTTGTAACAGTTTGTTTAAAATATATTCGATTGTCATTATTGCTGTAGCAAGAAAAGGGCGTTTCTTGATCCTGAGACAATTAAAGCTAAGGCCCTATCTACAAGAGTCGCACAATCTGTGTCGCAGGTCGCAAGTTTGTTGCAAGAGCCAATCTGATGCCAATATTAAAAATTGACACTTCATACTTATGCGACTATTGTAGATGAGACCTAAAAGAAGAGCAGTTGGCGAATGCTCACACAGTCTTTTTGCGCGGTTCCATCGAGACTGCGTCTCGAATTTTGTAAATAGCGAAGGTAACGTTACGATTAACGATTTATGCGAGTGTACAGTAATCGAATGTGTTATGTGGTGTGAGAAAGGAGCGCATTTGCACGTTGGCCTTATGCGACGATTCGATGCGATATCCAATATGTACCTTTCTATGTTAGAAGATAAAAAAAAAACTTCGAACAAAGTTCAAATGAAAGTGAAACTCAACAACGAAAATTATGTCTTTTTTGTGCAATACCCTTTCTCAATCTCATCACGATCTCCCTCGTAGCTACTATTACTTTCTCTAAAATTAATGTTGCTCCTTATTTGCGAATTCCGCTCGTCAAGAAATAGAACAAAAATATACGGAAGCTTTTAATTTATCGCCTGAATGTTATTATGTACATTTTTTATTTGTTAAATTAAATACAAAGCTATCGGAAAAATCTATCGCGTTCTTCATCGTATCTTAACCTGAGAATAGTCACTTAAGGTGTTTTGCACCTCAGCGGCGAAAGAATGTGAATTATTGTAAAATATTATTTTGTACGGATATTATTTAACATATTTCCTTTCTTTTTTAATAACTATTCTTTACGAATCTTTAAATATACAATTCCATTGAAAATCTGCAATAAAAAAAGGCCGTTATATTAAAATCTTTATTTTTTGGAAACACTATCGTAATAAGCTATACTTGATTATTCCATTTAATATTCGTTTTCTACTTATTTTTTTCAGAAAATTGTGATTAAATTCACATTCGTAATGTTCTCAAATATTAATAAATCGGAAAACAATTAATATAATATATAATATGTTATTAATAATAGTGACTTTAATTAGGATATAAAGATACTCCAGATGATTTTTATGTAAAAAAAAATTAAGTGTCTCTATTCCCAAGCTAATCGAACAAGTCTGGAAATTGACACGTTTAGCGCAGACAATAATACGAAACGGTATAGTACGCATCCGCACGTATCGTTTCGCGAATGCAATATCGAACAAAAATCTGTGGTAAATTCAAGCTGAGCGAACATTGCTCGGTTGGGCGTATGTGCATAACCAGTTACGGCTAGATTTCACGAGTTTGCCTAAGCGCCCGAGATGGAATCGCGGCTGTTATCGCGGCGACGAGGTAAAAGTGGATCTAACAGCAGTTTGTAAAAACGTATACAACGCACACGTGAACGCGGAATGTATTCAGGTGTAACAACGCTGAACACATCGTCGGAGTGACGACGGGGATGTTCCCCGAGCGCGCACATCTGGCCCACAAAAGATAACGATATCGGCCAACAATCCGATTGTGTTACCTGCCACTGCACGATACACTGCACACATCGAGCACATTTGGTACGTATGTAATCGCTATACCGCGAAACCGCGAAACCGTGATAGTTTTGCGCTGCTGTATTTGCGGCAATCATAGAGAATAAGTTATGATGCTTCCTTTCTCTATCTAATCTCTAATATTTTTGATGTTCTTTCGTTTTCCTTTCGGGCTCTTCCAGGAAATTTTGAAAAATTTTTCAGAACAAACAGAGTTCGATGTACTGCATTAACGTTTTGTACAAAGAAAGAACATTTTTGTTGAATATCTAAAAATCTAGCTAGATACAGATCTGAAAATAATTTTATTGGACTATCAGAATAATTATGTATAAGGTTTCTCAAGCATATTGAACAAAAAAAAATTTGACATTTTAAGGGGATGCTAGATCGACGGCCGAACTTGATCGAAGTCGATAGTATAGACTTTTTTAAATTCCAAATTCGATAATAGTGACATCTTTCATTCATTTCTTATACTTATTATATATACTTATTATATATAGTTGTATCTCGCTCAAACGCACTCGTCTGTCCTTATCTAACATATTGCAACGCCATCTCTTAGAAAGAGATCAACTAAAATACTGCTCGGTTTCATGGCTTCGTCAATTTTATTCGTAGCATACGAACGAAATTTTTGGCGGCTCTTTTCTCTTATACTAAAGCTCATAGCTCATTTCTACAGGCATAGTATTGTTCTTCGAGGTTTTCTGTAGGCTGTTGGCTACTTATTTTAAACGAGTAAAATCTGAACCTCTTATATGCAGCACATATTGTGACGAGCTGACTGCGGGAGCCGGTGACAAAACTACAATTTAAAATTTTTTTTCATTTTTCGTATTAAATTGTAGCTGGCAACCAGTGTTGTCAATAGTTTAATTGTGGAGAAGGACTTTTCAATCCGTAAGTGCAATTAAGAGAAACGAAGGTAAAATCTGAACCTCTTATATGCAGCATATTGTGACGAGCTGACTGCGGGAGCCGGTGACAAAACTACAATTTTAAATTTTTTTTCATTTTTCGTATTAAATTGTAGCTGGCAACCAGTGTTGTTGTCAATAGTTTAATTGTGGAGAAGGACTTTTCAATCCGTAAGTGCAATTAAGAGAAACGAGGAAAATTAATCATACTTCATTGGTAAAACAGATCACTCTCCAGCATCCCCTTAACAATCTAAGCATCCTACATAATTATTTTTATGAGCTAACAAAATTATTTTCGGATCTGCACTCAATTAAATTTTCAGATACTTCAACAGAACTTTTCTTTCCATGAAGAAATCATACGTAGATGTAGGTATATAAATTTTCTAACTTTACAAGGAAAGAAGCTCAAAGTGTTAAAATGCGAAAGAATTTTATCTCGTACATGTACATACTTTTTCCATTATAATGATGATTTGTATTTAATTATCCTATTGTAATTTTCGTTATAATCGCCGGATTGGCGCGGAGCGCGTTCAGCTCTGTATCCGGTTCGGCAGCTGTTTAGCATAAGGGTAAATTGCTTAAGAAAATAATGATTCTTCTGCGCCGTCGTCTTTCGCCCCGTCTTTTGCGACCCGCGCCTCCTTCCATCATTATCTAGAGATGCGGCAGGTGGCGATGACGTTCTCGCGCTCGGCCGTTCGGCTACCTGCCTCGAAAATGAGCGCGCGGTTTTACTCGCCGCGCAACGCCACGGGCGGCAGCATCATGTATGCATGTAACACACGTGTGCTCGTCGCCGGGATCGCGAGTTGCACGTGTAACACGGGCGTTAGGGGAAGTTGACGCGGAGGCTGCAGGGAACAGGACGAGATCCGCAATACAGAACAAGAAGCAACCGGCTATGCTAATATTTAATTTGGACTCTCAAAAATATTCGTATACAAATTTTGCAAGCACAGAACACTAAAAACTAACTCAGATACTCTTCTATCATTTAAATGTGATCCTGACAGCTAATAAATTAAATAAAAATCAGATCGGAGTATTTTATTCTGATTTATCGCCTGTTTGTTGTATGATTTTAATTGTACCTGTGAACTGCTTCAAACTTGAGAGAAGATCTAATTAATTTGATCGAAGTAAAAATATACTAAATTAAATCGATTATGAGTAATGAATATTGTTCCTTTAAAAAAAAGAAAACGCAATAGAGCAACATTTTTTAAAAGGCGACTCTCGCGCATTTTAAAAAGCGACGATTTCGGGGTCTGTTTTCTGTCGGCTGAACTAATGTACATTTTTGGAACTTAAAATGAGATAAGTATATGTTTGATATTTGGTAAAAGCAAGAGAGTTCTAGTGCAGTCTAGTG